AAAGGAAATCAAACTAGAACTGGAAATAAACAGAACAGGAATACAACTATAGTGGCTGGATGGCAATAATAATGGTAACAACAAGAACAATAACAAAAGCGAGAACCACGCGCATGTCATATTGGCAGCAACAGGAATATGAAACACCAACCAACCAAGCGAACATTCAACCGAAACCAGTGCGAAAAATCAATCAACGCGTCGTGCCATAAAGCGTATAAAGCGCATGCGCGCCGAATTGTTTGCGGCTGCGGAACGGTACGCCACGCTGCATTGAAATTAGCACGCGCCCGCGCTGAAACAGGAATGACGCGTTGGTCGCAGCGAGTGCTAGTGCTTTGTATGTATGTACATCACAAACCGAGAACAATGACAGCTACAGCAAAGGCTGGATACCACAAAAAAAAAAATTAAAAAAAAAAACAAACAATCAAAAAATTTCCGATTTGTGGGAGAACGCGCTGAAAGCGGCGCCTCGAAAATAATGCAAAAAAAAAAAAACATTTAAACTAAAAACAGGAAAATTGCGCGCACGCGTCAACAATTTAACGCCAAGCCGCCAACTCATGTGGCCGTGCGAAATTGCAAAACATTTACAAGAGCATACAACAACAACAACAACAACAGCAGCAGCAGCAAAGCGCGCACAGTAAAGCTGACATTTTATAGTTTTCTTGTTGTATTTTTTGCAACCTCAGCGCCACCAACCACCTAACTAACCACAAATATGCAAAAACAAGTGTACATATGTATGTATATGTAAGCATAAAATTTTACAATTCAAGTGCAACACAGCGTAGCCTGACAGCACAACGTTCCTACTGCGACCAAAGCCCGAGCAGGCGCACAGGAGCGCACCATTTTCCCCCTTATCCACCATTTTTTCGCTGTTATTGTTTGGTTTTAGTGTCTTAGGTGTCGCAATCACATTTAACAACAACTTGTATGTGGCAAGTACATATGCAAATGCTTGTGCATGCTATGCTGCTGAGTTTCTTTTTTGGTCCGACCAACCACAAAGTGCAATCACAGCGATCGCAGCAGCAATAGTCTTTTGTTTGTAGCAGCAGGATACCTGCTGCAGTTGCCATTGCAGTTGCAGTTGCAGTTGCTCCAGTTGTTGTTCTACTGTAGTTACTACTGTGATTGTTGTGGGTTGGGCTGCCAATTTAGTTGCCACAATGTTTGCGGTTGAACGTGTTGTTCGATGCTTGTTTTCTTTATTTTTTGTTATATTTTATAAGAACTAACATATTGTACACTACTACAAGGCATTGCTGTTGTTATTATTACTATTTTTTCGCTTACGGACTATCCAAAAGAGGAAAAAAATAATAGCAAGATTTTTAAAAAAAATTTATAAAAAATATGACAAAAATTGGAGGCCCTTACCTCAGAGCCAGCAGTTGATATACAGTATATTCATTCAAAAATGCGCCAGAAGATCATCTGAGAGCGAGAAATTTGGTATTTATATTTATTACAGACATGTGTGTGAGAGGAGTCAGGAATGGCTGAAACGCGTCAGTTGTTAAATGCTGTAAGTTTGGCCTACAAAACCACTTGGAGCACACTCTCCCTCCACCATTTTTGAAGAAACACAGCGCTCAAATAATTATCCGTCATAACAATTGATTGGTCACCTTTCTCAACCGAAGTTCACCCTGAGCTCCACCTCAGGCATTTATCTGGTTAAAAGCGAATTGGTCACCTCCCACCACCTCTAATAATTTTTCTATGGAACCCAACTCATTTAAAGCCAAACGGTTCGATGAATAAATTCAAGGGTTTTATTAAACACCAACTTTCTATTATCCCAAACATTCTCTGCCTCCTATCACCTAAGTTTAGGGAGTCATCTATATCGGCCTCTTACAATTCCGGCACGAAGAAGTCATTAATCACAGCTTTCTGGTGTTGCCCGTTGACTGTAAAATCATAATCAGCTTAATTTTTTCAGAAATGTGAGCCACAGATTTCTTCTGCCCATAGAGTACACGTGAACTCATTTGCGTTTTCTTCGATACTCGGCTTCACAGCCGCAAAAAAAGGTATTCGGTGTGCATTGTGCGGCGCCTTTGAGGATGTACATCATCCACTAGAGTATACGTGGTGCGAAGCCGATTCATGCTTGCTCAAGTCTTAGCCAATTTATCGCGTTTATACTGGATCTTTTCCCAATTTACGATATATCTTTAAAATATCAAATTTAGTTAAACCATAAAAGTAATTTTCATTATACGAATTTTTACGCATTTTAAGATTTTGGTATAGTGTAGAAATATTTTTGTTTTCATTCAATTCCGTGTTGAAAATTTTTAAAATCGTCAGGCTGCATTAAAAAAAATTTCAAGCGGATTTTTTTTTTTTTTTTTTTTTTTTGTTTTTTGGAGAAGTGTTTCTAATGTTGGTTTTTGGTTTTCATTAGGATTAATAATTTTGCACAAGCTTCGTATTTTCTTATTTCTTGCGTGAAATCATGACAAGAAATCGATTTTCATAGAAATAAATCGGTTTTATTTATTTATTTCTTTTTTTTTTTCAATACTGAATACCGTTTCTGAAAACTTACGATACTTTTAAAAGTACAGAAAAAATAATAAGAAGTTCAAGAAAAATTATTTAAAATTATTTCCAGATTTCTGACGTGGTTAAAAATAAAAATAACACAATTTTAAAAGCATCAGCATTTTTATTTATTTTTTTTTTTGAAGAATTTTCTAAGTGCATAAAACTTTTAATTTTTGTGCTACTATTGTTCCCCAGAGCACATCCAGCATTTAAGTCAATCGCTTCACAAGGTCTTTTTTCATGTTGAGAAAATTTTGATCTTCAGTTGTTCATTGTCCCATCGACCTTTTATCATGTTTACTGCAAAATTTTAGAATTCACTGCCTCTCTTCTTTGAGCATCTGTATCTAGAAATGTTAACTCCATATGCCACTGAGCATGGCACTGACTCTTCTGAATGAAACCAAAAGTAACCAGGAAGCTAAATTTTAGGGCAGTTGGAGGGAGATATTCCTTCCTGAGTTGCGAGTGAGAGAGAGAGAGACATTTCAAAAAAAAATTTACTTAAATTAGAAAAAGCAGTGGAAAACCATTGGCGCCAAAAGACAAAGACTTTAATATCAGAAATATTAATAGAGTAGAAATAAGGAACCCGGTTTGGGGTAATTTTATGTTTAATTTTTTTTTTTTTTTTTGCAATTTTTTCAGAAAACTACTAGACTTTTTTGTATGGAAAATTTCATTTATTACGCATTATCGTTTGGTGAATTTTGTATAAATTTTTTTACCTTTTAAAGACTTCGAAAAAGCCTTACTAACGTTACGTAAAGGCTTTGTCGTTAGTTGTTTAGTTTTCTTGTACTGCTTAAAGGGATCAAGGCTATGGACTGTCAGTATCCTATATATATGTACGAACAAGTGATGTGGAGCCGCTTTGGTCTCACTATCTTCCAAACGAATTTTTGAAACATACACCAAAAGAGGGCATATATAAAATGCTGAGCTAATCATGTACATTTTTGTTTCCCGCCATTTCGTTTCGGTAATTTTGTTGCAAAAGATAAGCCACGGTATGGAAGGCGAGTTGTTGAAAATGCCAATAAAATAATGGTAATCGTTGAGTCTGTGCGGTTAGTACCCCTTGAAAAAGACCAGATACACAAAGCAGTTTGATATATGAGTGCCACATCGAGAAAAGATCTCATAGACCGAGCTTCCACCTGCGCATCGTTGCTGAATCGTAACAAAATCGACCCTTTTCGGCAGCAGTTAGTAATCAGTGACGAAAATTAGCTCCCATCCCGCAAATTTAAATGAAAACAGTCGTAGTCGAAGGGCAGTGCGCCGGCACAAGCAGTCTCCAAGCCAGGTTTGACGGGCAGGAAGGTTTTTTTTTTGTATATTGGGGGGACATGGCAAGGAATCATGCACTAAGAGGTGCTCCCCTACGCCCAAATTCTCAACTCGCACTTACACCAATGGGAGTGTCTGAGGAAGCCATCTGCCAGAAGCGCTCTACTTTGGCCAACAGTAGGTGAATTTTATTTTATCAGTACCACACCAGAAGCTCTGAGAGCTTGGTTGGTAATTTCTGATGCATCCATCTTATTTTGAAGAATTGACCTCAAGTGAAGCCAGTAAAAAGCGATTTTCCCAATTGTTTGCCGAAGTAGGAACAGAAGTTTCTATGAGAGAGGCATATTTGACATAAATCGGATAATTCTGACTATGGTAAAAAATAGCCTTCAATTTAATTCAAAAATAATGGTTTAGTTATTACTAAACCGAAACCGGATAGCGAATATCTGACAATCATAAATCCTCCCGAAAAGTATCACGTTTGGTCCTTGCAAACAAGCACTCATCCACCAACACACAGCAACAGGTTTCCCTTATCTCAGGCGAGTCATAATTTATTAAACAATTTACTGTTAGTTCACGTATAATCACGTTATGCATAATTTTTACTTGAATCTCTTTTTATGAACCCATAAATCTGGCCATGCCAATGAACTTCTTTTCCAACCATAAAATGTTGCGCACGCGTCAGCAACAACAACGCTGGCAGCAGTGCAGTGTTGTTGCGCCTAAACGTGTCCGCAACTAAGCGCTAAATGACCGCAACGAAAGCGATGGACAGACACATAGGCACATAGACACATAGACCACGAGCCACAAATCCACATGCAAATTGAGAAAATTATTGGCAACAAAAGCAATAAAGAACAACAACAGCAAAGCTGAAACTAAAATACTCCAATTGCACTTTTTCGCAACAGTCAATTGTCAATTTGTCGCGCATGCAACGTGCAACAGCCAGACAGCCACTGGGGTGGGGTTGCTTGAGCGAAAAAGAAGAAGAAAAAGAAAAAGAAGCAAAAAACTGTTTTTCCAATTCAATCTGTTTATTTCCTTTTTGTTTTTGCTAATTACCATAACAATTTTCTAATTTCCTTTTTCCTCATTGTTTTTCCGTCATCTCTTTGCAGCACACCTACGGCCACTAACAGCAAGCTGAACGGCCAAACCACACCTCTGGACGTATCTGGCCTATCGCAAAATGAATTCCAAGGCCTATTGCTTGGTGCACACCCATCGGCGGCTGGCGGTGCCGGCAACGCAGTCACAACACCAACAACCATCACGCAACATTCGGCCATTGTGGCTGCAGCCACAGCAGCTGCAGCGGCAGCTGGTAGTGCCACCACAGCTGTGGTCGTGACCGCCGAACAGCAACGTCAGGCACAACAACAGCAGCAGCAGCAACAGCAACAACAACAACAGCAGGCACAACAAACTATCAGCATCAAGCGCGAACCGGAAGATCTGCGTAAGGAGCCGAAAAGTGGCGGCGTTAGCAGCACAATTGTCGATGGGACGAACAGCATCACTAACGGTCATCATCAGCAGCAGCAGCATGGCGGCACGAAGGTGAGTGCGTAGCAGAAGTTAAACTAAAGTGTTATTGTAGCTGGCAACGCAACGCAGGAGTCGATGCGTTCGCGCATGCGTTTGTTTGTGGTTTTTTTTTACTTTGTTGTTGTTTTATCTACTCTATCACATAGTCGTTGTCGTCATCATCGACGTGGTCTTCCAAATAACCATAGCAAAAGATGTGCGCACGAGCGAGCGGCATAAAGTGCGTTACGCACACTCGAAATGCAGTCCCCTTCGCGAAAAGCTTAAATACCCATTTTTTTTTTATATTTCCAACAACATCCCTCCACCTCGACCATGCGCCTCAACGCGCACATTCTCGTTAAATTTTCAAAGCCAAACACTTCACTCACATCGCCATTTCGCCATTGTCCAACGTCGCCGCCTTGTCGCTAACTACAATATGGTCGCTAAACCCCCTGGGCTGCTCTTTGGCTCTTTTGCTCTATTGTCAACTCGATTATCGTCTAATACACGGTCGCAGCCGTCGCTCTAACGCTTGCAATTGGTCCGACTGGCAGTGGCTTGGTGTTCGTGCAGTGAGGCTCATGCGTTATCGTCGCGTCGCGTTGGTATTAGTGTCCGCCGTGCATGTGCCGAAGCGTTCTATTGGCTGGCGGGCTTGTGGCCTGAAATGCGATCGGCCTAACTGTTATACTCAGCGAGGAGTGCATGTATGTATGTGTGTGTGTGTATGTTTGCTTGCGTCTTCAAAGTGTGTTTGTCAACTGTTATACGCCACATGTTGCTGATCCACAACGAGTTAGATGACGCCTCAGCGAATTTGCGCTCATTCATTCATTCATTCATCCATTCGTTGTGCGATTCGTGGCACAATATACATACTTACATTCATATATACATACTCACATTGATTTTTTCTCACTATTAAACTTGGCCGCATGCGTTTGTTTGTGTATATGTTTGTTTTTCTTGTGTGTTGTTGCTTTTCCCTATGCCATTCGTTGTTTCGTGCTTCCTTTCATTAGTTTCAACGCTTACCACTTGACTGCCTACACGAGTTGTCTCTTTTCCACTCATCACTCATTCCACTCACCTTCGCACTCACACTCTCGCTGGGGCTGTTCGTTAACCAGCGATCGTTGAAACCACCACTACAGCGGATATCGTTTACGATCAAACTCGCTCGTCGGCTTGAACTTCGTTTTTTTCTGTTCGTTTTGTTTTTGGCTTGCAGACGACAAATCTGTTGTATTGTTTGGTTGTATTCGAACATGTCTGACGCTGAGGTTTTTGCTGTGGTTCGTTTGGGTTTTGCGTTTGCGTAGGCGTTTGATTGAACTGGATTTATGGCTTTCTTCGAACAAATTGATAAAAACGTTACATATGTATGCGTGTGTATAGGTGTAGAGTTTGTGTGTGAGTTGGATGCGATAAGGTGAGTGTTATCAAAATGTTGGGTTCCCTTGCTGCGTGAAGGTATAACTGAAAGTATTTAAGAAAGAGTTGTTTGTAGAAGGATGAAGATTTTTTTCTGGGTTAATAAGGGGAATCTTCGGGATTCCCAAACTTTTCTTATAAATTTTACTAAAAATAGTTTAATAGTTTAACCGCGACGTCTTGATGGTTGTCAACTTCATTTATAGACAGTTGAAGGCAAGCACGGCGTGGCAGTCGTGCTAGGAGCAGCTGAAACATAATTTCGAGCACCGGTCAGGCCAAAGCTCAGTATTTTATTTCTAATTTCGTGCATCCTTCGGCACAAAATCTCACAACTTAGCCGAGTATCTTTCACAGCAAATTGGTAACTTTTCGTGAAAAATGAATTCGAACCATAAGCCTTTGGGGGATGACTTACATCTGTAGGTCCATTTTGTGCTCTTAAAGCTTCAATAGAAGCTTTTATGTGTATAAAGTGAATTGAAGCTCTTGAAAGCTCTAAAGGCTTGAGCGATAGCAGGTGTAGCATTTATGTAAATGGTTAAGTAATATATTATGTATTTGCAAAAAGCTCAAAAAGTGGAGGAAATATTATAACTTTCAAGTAAAACGCCTTAATTGGAAAACTATTTCAAAGCTCTGCAGTTCTAGCGGTAATTTTGACTATTTTACACCTAAAGCTTTTACTAGCTTGCATTGTATAACGAAGGTTATAAAAAAATTGTAATTGCTCGATGAAAGCTCCCAATAAAGAGCTTTCATTTATATTTCTGGTACTACCAAAGCTTCCAAACTTTTGTCTATAATGAATACACGTATGCTGTATTCATCACTATTTTATATCTTATATTTTATTAATTTGTGAAAGCTCCTTTAGGGAGAGCTTTCATTTAAAGCGGCAAGCTTAACAAAGCTTGTTACGAGGCTTGGCTTCAAAAGCTATCGGCTGTAAAAAGGTACTCTTACTTAAAAAGCTCTCGTGCGACATATTTAGTTTGACGGCAACAACGGTATTTTTTTTATAAATATTTACGTACGTATTTCATGTTCTAAAAAATTGTTATTTACATTTCCCACGCTGTCATGTGTACTGCATATAATATTGTATGTACACATACATGTACATATGTAATACAAGCAGACAGTGACATATTTTTCTAAATACCGTTAAATATGTGTGGTGCACGGAAAGCTCTCTTGCACACCTTTCCTGCCGCCAGCTGTCACACGCTTCCTGCTCTATATATCTCTACTTCTTATAACTTAAGCCAGCCGCCCATATGTGCGCGTCAATCCAACACCACCACATACAGTCACAACATTTAAACACTTCCGGATATTTGCGCCCTAACGCCAACGACCGTATGCTCTTGAACAGCACACTACTTCCTGAAAGAACTACGATAACAACGACGCCTAAGCTAGTTTGGGCACATGGCGGTCGTCGTCTCGCCTTGGTTCGACAGCGCGTTCGAAAGCCAATGCCGCGCGACGCGCAAGCGGAGAGTGTTCAGGCAGAAGACGAACATTTCACCACGTTTAATAGTTGGTGATCTCCAAGCGGCGCTGCCAACCAGGTAAGCGCGCAACACAGGCAGCGAAGAATACGTAAAGACATACATATAGACACGAGCATGCGCAGGGTGTTTTCACGGTCTGTTTGTTGCTGCCCTGCTACGGCGCACTGCGGCCATACCTGGTTGGGCATGCTCGTAGCTATACCGTGCGCTCAGGTATGCTTGATTGCATTTTTGTTGTTGGCTTTGCAGCTGTGTTGCTGTTAGTGGTGGTGTTACGAGTTGCGCGCTGCTCGCATACATTTCACAGCTACAACTGCGGCTTCAGTGTGTCACACAGTGTTGACGAAGTAAGTTCTTCGTTCGCAGTTTATAGTTCGCAGTTCGCTGGTGTTCGGTGTGAGCGAGTAGTACGTAGTTTGATTGCGCTTGAAGTTTAGTCACAAGCGCGCTTGAAATACTTACGCCAAGCAGTTGTTACACGGCACGACGCGCACGGACGCTGGTGAGCCATTATTGTATTACGCTATTCGGCAAGTGTGCACGAGTCGTACGAATCGTACGTAATATTACCGCCGCGAGCTACGAACTAACGACTGAATCTCGAACTAAGCGCCTGTTGTTCATTCAGCGCCAGTGCTTGACCAAATGCAAAATACAAGGCGAGAGAGAAAAAACAAAACGTAGAACCAGAAGAAAGAAGTGTAAGCACGTAGCGAAAGAACAGTGTGAACGCGCGTCGTGAACATACAAGTTAAACTTGAAAGATCCTCCAAAACTACTTAGCGAACGTGTGTAAATAAATAAATAAATATTAAATAGAAAAAAGAAAATATTTAAAAGTAAATGAGAAAAGTATAAAATATTTTTAAAAAGCTGCAAAGTTTAAAAAACAATTTTGAAACAATTCTTTCGAGGCGAGAAATTTAAAACAAATATCTAAAATTAAGTGCTTAACGAATGAAAAACAAAACAAATGAAGAAAATTAGAAAATTAAATAACAAATAGCATAAAAATAATTAATAAAAACGCGCAAATTGTAAAATAATTCAAGCGCTAAATAGCAAGCGGCCTAAGCGCTTTGGCATTAGCGTTGTTTTGTTTTTTTACAACTCTATTTCATTTCTAATTTATATTTTGCTATTAAAAATATTCAAGACGTGACTTAGCAATTGCGGCGCGCTTGACGATTGACTGCGTAGATTCCACTCAAATCAAATTAAACTTGCAGCGCAATTTCAAGTGTTTGTACGTGTGTGCGGCTGCGGCTAGAAAAATAGTGCTGAAAATATACTTATATAGTTGAGAATTTATGTAAACAAACAAACAAAAATATTGGCGCAAAAAGTTTGTTTCAAAAAAATAGTAAAAAAGGTTTTAATTGAAAAAAGTACAAAAAAAAGTACGAAAAAGTAAAAAAAAAATTATTAAAAAAAATAACATTCTATAAAAAAAAAATATTTAAAAAATACTAAATATTAAAAAATACGAAATAAATATTTGGTAGTAAAATAATTTTAATTTACAAGTGTTTTTTGCGCCACAGACACGTGAAATTTTAATTAAAGAAAAGCTTTGTCTACAGCTTCTGAGTTTTGTGCAAAATTTCACTGAAACATACCCATAATTTAAACCAAACAGAGTTTTGGTGATCTTCTCTGATTTTCTGGAAGTGTGTTTATTATTAAAAAAAAAATTAAAAAAAGGTTTGTTCTTAATATTTAATCCGTGAAAATTCTTTGCATACTTGCAGCATTGCGAATATTCGTCGATACACACACACAATTTTTTTGTTTAAAAGAAAATATATTTTTTTAAATGAATTAAATTTAGTTTTTAAGCTGAGGTATCCCCGCCCAAAATGACTTACAAGTAGAATATTCAAACTAAAAAATAATATCCCAAATAAAAGGTTTCCAACTAGGTAACAATTTCAAGAACTCATTTCAGTTTATAAATAAAAATGCTTTTAAAAAAAAATATAAACCTAAATATATAATATGATCGGCACTCTATAATCGCTGAAACATTTTTCACTGAGTTCACTACTGCAATTTAGTGAAGGGAAAATATAA